CTACCCCAATCTTATCATTCATCTGGGTGAAGAGTTAATGTCCCCAACACAATGAAGTGAGATCGCCTACCATGTTATCAGTTCAGTCAGGTGTTCATTTGAAACAAAAAATGTTAGCCACGGCCAATCTTCTTTTTATAAGGCCACAGGGGAAAGAGGAGAAAGAAACATCAATAATTAGCAATTTTAGATTAAATTAAATTTGGCCTAAAGCTGCCTCTGTACATAGCAAACTGTAACCTAATGTAGTATGTAAACAAACTGCAACCTAACTTAAGAGTATAGTCTTGTAACAAATAGCCAAGTCTCATCCAATCACAGCAGCCAAACTCAGCCAATCGCAGGCTGCCAACTGATCAGACCATGTCCATGGAAGGTAAATGCCAAGCTGCAACCAATCAAGCTGTTTCTGTATGTCACTTCCCTTTTCTTTCTGTAAATACTGCCTGCCCATGTTCCTGGTTCTGAATGCTGCCTAATCCATGAATTGTTCTTTGCTCAGGTAAACTCTGCTAAACTCAATTTGTCTAAAGTTTTTCTTTTGATAAAAGAAAACCTATCTGCAGTTGTACCTGCTTCTGAAGCTAGTCACAAGGCCTTGGTTGGTAGTTATAGCAGCCTTCCTCCACAGTCCTCTCTAAGTTCTGCCTGCTCACCTCCGTTGGATAGGAGTCTTTACTGGGTGGGATTACTTCAACTTCCATTCCTCTGTGGGTTCTAAGTCCATAGAGATAGCCATCATTTCACCCAAAATGCACAAACATGTATACCCACTTAGAGGACTTCATCATTGTCTTGCAGTGTGACCCCTGAGTGGAGCCAGGGAGTAAAAGCCATCCTCTCTTGTGATCCTGTGGATCATGAAGCTTCGTTTGCAAACCAGGCCCACCTTTTTGTTCTCCTTTAGCTGGCCATGTGCCCCATGAGGTCATTGCTGTAAGTAGAGAGAAAGGCAGTGAAGCAGTGGACATTGATTCTATGAAAGTCTGAGCCACCTGCTGTTACAGCTTATTCATTTCTTGCAGACTTATAAGGCCCCAGTCTTACATATATGAATTCCATTTTATGATGGAATTCTGCTGTGTGTGATTTAGTGGAACAGATGACTCCTTTGGATATGATAAGAGTTCAGGTCACACAGATACTTGGGACCCCATGGTCAGATACTCAGTCTCAACAGGGCCTCATGGGAAACGAGATACTGATTTCATATGGACACTACTAGTTGACAGAAGAGGGCATAGCCTTCCTCCAAAACCCTAGGGATTCTGTTATCGGGGATTTTCGAAGGCCTCTGACTTCTACAGAGTCTTCCATTATCATTAGGTCTGCTGGGTTATTGTGTACAAATAGTGGGATATGTACACCACAACTTGGACCTGCTAGAAAGAGCTTTCCTTCTCTGGCAGTCTTCCTGCTTACCAGAAAATGGATTAGCCTGTCCAAAATCCAGATAAACCAAGCAAGCATGGAGCTTCAAAGGTTATTCTTTCTTTTAGAGATGCTGTTACAACATGCCCCAATGTACCAAACTCCAGAAACATCACTGATGTGACAGGCTGTGGAACCTGTGAAGTTTGTCACATACCCTCTAGCAGACATGTATCCAAGGCACATTTGATGTACTTCCTCATTGGGTCCAAGTAGCATAATGTCATCTCTATGGGATAGCAAAATAATCAACAATTATCCTGATTACATCATGACAGAGTGAATTTGAGTTGATGTAGTCATTAAGCAAGATGGCAAACTATCCTCTTGACCCACCACTTAGATCAAACTGCTTCTCATTTCCTTGTCTTGTGGAAATGGTGTGGGGGAGCAGAATCTGGCAATAGCTGCAACCCAGGTGCCAGGGACTATAGTAACTTGCTCCAGTGAAGATACCACAACCCAGAGAGCAGGTGAAATTGGCATCACAACCTGTTTGTGTTTGTGAAGATCATTGGCATCTCAGCACAGGGAAGGTCTAAGTATGGCCCTCAATCAGAAGGAAAATATTGACTATTTCAAACAAAATTATCTCTGTAGCAAAAACAGCATAAAAGGTCAAGAAGCAACATACTGGGAAAAGAATTGCAACAAATATCACAGACAAATAGTTAATTTCTTATTTTAAAAGAAATACCTTCTACAGATCGAAGAGAAAAATTCTAAGGTCTCAAAGGAAAAATGAGCAGAGGATTTGACGAGTGCTTTTTCACCAGCCGAAGAGGTGGGTTAAGTCAGGATGTGACAGGAATCAGTACCTCTGCATCTATTAAGTTGTTGATGATAGGATTAATCTCTGAAACTCTCCCCGCCCCGCCCCGCCCAGGAATGTGTGATTGTTTTCTTTTTTTGAGACAGAGTCTCGCTCTGTTGCCCAGGCTGGAGCACAGTGGTGGCATCTTGGCTTACTACAACCTCCGCCTCCCAGGTTCAAGCAATACACTACAGGCAGGCACTACCATGCCCAGCTAATTTTTTGTGTATTTTTAGTAGAGATGGGGTTTTGCCATATTGCCCAGGCTAGTCTCAAATTCCTGAGCTCAGGAAGTCTGCCCACCTTGGCCTCCTAAAATGCTAGGGTTATAGTCCTGAGACACCTCACCTGGGCAAGATTGCTATTTTGATGTGGGTGAAGAGTACAATTCTAGGGGCTTCTTTTTGGCCCTTCCTAACATAATAACTCTCACTTTTTGGATCTGGAAACTGATGTGGGCATTCTGGCAGTTTCCAATTCCTATGTCTACTATACATTGTCCAGGCTGAAGAAATAACCAAAGGACAAGGGATTATCTGGCTCCTTGGGCCCCTACTCTGCCTGCTGGACCAATATGGCATTTCAGTCTCTCAGAATCAGAGCCAGAATCATTCAGAACCAGAATCTAATAATCCCTGGATAGTTCCATTTCCCCAGTACACATTCACCCTACTAAATGTCTGTAGATCCCTCTGATGAAGGACGGAGGGAAGAGTCATACAATGTGTCTGCAGCCATGTGACAGGATTTTTCTCAAAAGTCTCTTTCCCAAAGATTTGTAGGATTTTGTATTAGCATATATTCGGAAACTGGATAAGGGGTTTTGAATCCCCACCATGACAGCTAGAGATAGGGTTATGCTCAGCATATTTAGGATCTTTCTGCCTATGTATGTAAAGCTGCATTTTAGTAGACTGCCCATTTGTTTAATTTCTAAGGATGCCATGATCATCACTATGGATCCCTCCTGGTCAAAACAGTCAGATTAGCACTCCAATCCTATGGCTTATTGGGATAATGATGCCCATCTTGTCTCAGCTGTTCAATAACCACTGCAACCCGACTTCTACCATTTAGATTACTTCCATTTAGGTAAGGGAAGCCAGTTCTAATGCTGCATACCCCACTGTCATTTCTCGCCTGTAGAAAGCCACCAAAGAGCTTCACAAGGTTACCAGTGACCAGGGTTAGTGAAGTACCCTGGCACAACAGATTGAAGGAGCATTCACTTTCAGGCTTATGCATTCAGGATCAGCACCTGAGAGTGAGTGCCTGCTTAAATGTTGCACCCTGGGTGTCTGTTTGCCTCCTGTCTCACTCTGGCACTGCTGGTACGTTCCTCTCCAATGCATGTCTTAATTCCTTGGTGATAGTTGCATCCCCTGGGCTTGTTCAGGGCTAGGAGGGTAGTGTTGAAGCATGTTGCACATAGTAGCTCCATTTCAATATTCTCACATCCTTGAGTCTTTGAGCTCCTTCTAGGACAATGCTTCTCAAACTGTAATGTATAATGTACATAGGAAGCACATGGGGATATTGCTAAAATTCTGATTCAGAAGTGCTAGGACAGGGCCTGAGATTCTACATTTTTAAATAGCTCCCAGTGATGCTGCTACAGCAACTCCACAGGACACATTTTGAGCAGCAAGTTTCTACCAAATGCCATATAAGTCAAGGCATCTCAAACTCATTAACTGTAGACCAATATTGAGTCAAGGTATCAGTGAGCCAAAATCAATTGGCCAAATCTAGCAGAGTATCAATTACTCCCAGGCCAACACATTCAATCCCCACTGAGCGTAGTCAGATCAAGCCTTTATTTTATCCTCCTTCATTTAACATCTTTAGTACGCATTCCCCTACTTGCTGCCCAGGTTCTGCCAATATACACACTAATGAGATGTGGAACATTTTTGTGTACAAGCTTTCTCTGCAAGGAACAGGTCTTTATTTCTGCACCTGGACTATACTAAGATCTAACTCTTAGTATAGATCTTAGTGGGGTTAGGATGGGTCCTGAAGAAAATCAGTATCAAGTTGTGAGGTATCTGGCCTGAGAGAAGTCCTTCAGTCACTAGAAGTTTTTTTGTTTTTTGTTTTTGCCAAGGAAGGATAGTCCTTTTGGCACAATGTGGCTACCTGTCTGAAAGGCATTTGAAATGGTTCCAAAGTTCTCAGTATTCTTATGCCATGTCGCAAGGCCTCACTGCTTCCATACCAGTGCCCTTTCCTTAGTGTAAGAGATGTGACATGGTGGTGTAGATTTAATTGGGATTGAACTTATCATCCTTACAATCAGGCTCTTGGTTTGGTGCTCAGCCATATCTGCCCTGCAACTACAGGATGAGGGACTTGTCCAAAACTGTCATCAAGGTATTCCAGTTTTCCATGGATATTCTCAGCTGGATAGTTTTGCTTTCAATCTCAAATTTTATTGTCTAAACTTCCTAGAGCTACCAAAAAGCTAATTTACAATCTCTCTAATTACTATTGTTGCCATGGAAACTAAATGCCTTTAGAAACTAAATTCATAAACTGGAATTCCCAGCGCCTTGTCCTCTACCTTCACTTCATCTTATGCCTCCACTAATGATAAAGAGTGTGATCTGATGAGTGTGTGTGTGTGTGTGTGTGTATGTAAAACTGTTAACAAATAGCCTGAAAGGATACCCACCAAAGTCATGATAGTTATTGCCTCTGGAGGAAGGGGAGATAAATTGGATGTGAAAGAGAAGAAAAAAGAATTCAAATTCAATTGCAATGTTGCATTTCTTTTATTTAAAAAAAAAAGCTTGAAGCAAATATAAAAATATTAAAACTTATAAATCCCTTATAGCAAAGATTTATTATTTTTGTATTTTCTACATTTTTCAATATTCATTACGATCATGAGGGGTTTATTCCAGGATATTGGTTGATAGAAAACTAAGAGCAACTTATAAAATCATTCCATGAACAAGTAAAAACACACAGCAACATTTTCACCAAAATTATTATGTGGTACAGAATCCAAAAGTCATAAAAAGCAAAAGCTATATTTTTTTCACTCTGGCACCCATCTGCCTTTCCCCACAGTCAGACACTGTTACCAGTTGTTTAGATACTGCATTTACAAGCACATACTTATATTGATTCTACAAGCATAAGGTAGACATTTTCAGCATGCTGCTTTGTTCAACACACAGTACATCTTAAAGGTGGTCCCACATCAATTCATGTAGAGATCTCCCTTTTTTTTTTTTTATGACTTCACAGTGTTATCATGTGCTGATATGCCAAAATTTAATCCTTAGACCCTTTGAGTAGATATTTACTGTTTTGCAGTCTTCTGCTCTTAGGAATAAAGTGAAATTCAGCCACCTGTACAGTAGCATTTCATACGTTTGAATATATATATAGAATAAATTTCTAAAAGAGAAATTGCTAGAGAAAGGGATATATGCATTTACAATTTCGATAACTACTGCCAGATTGCTCTTAATAGAAGTCATACCAATTTATAGCAATGCATAGAAGTGCTTTTCCCTTGCCAAATGGTTTGTTATCAATCTGAATGATTTTGTCAATTGATACTTCTGTTATCATGAGTAATGTTTCCATATGTCTAGGAGCTATTTTAAATTCTTTTTCTGTATTCTACCACTCGTCAAATCCTTTGCTCATTTTTCCTTTGAGACCTTAGAATATTTATCTTCGATTTGTAGAAGCTATTTTTTAAATAAGAAATTAACTATTTGTCTGTGATATTCATTGCAATTCTTTTTCCAGCATGTTGTTTCTTGACCTTTTATGCTGTTTTTGCTACAGAGATAATTTTGTTTGAAATAGTTAATATTTTCCTTCCTGGTTTCTGATTGAGGGCCATACTTAGACCTTCCCCGTGCTGAGATTATTATTTTTTAAGTCCTACTTTTTCTTCATGCACTACGATGATTCCATATTTTTACTTTTAAACACTTGGTTCTCCTTGACGCCTCTTGGCATCAAGTCTGACATATGACCCATGTTTAATTTTTTTTTTTTAGCTAGATACCCAAGTTATTCATCATATATTGAATAATCCATCTTTCCCCAATTAATTTGAATGCCACCTTTAACATATGCTGTTAATGCACTTCAACATGCATTTTAAATTTATTTTTGGTCATTCTATCTTGTGTCATTGACCCTCCACACATCAGCACCACGTTGTTTTAATTATTATAGCTTTTTAAGATGTTTTAATATTTGTTCATGCTAACTCACTTAGGTTTCTTCTTTTCTAGATTTTTGATGGATATTCTTGCCTTGTAGTTTCCAATAATTTTTTTTTGAGACAGGATCTCACTCTGGCTGCCCAGACTGCAGTGCGGTCTACCTACAGCCTCTAGCTCCCCAGGCTCGGGTGATTCTCTAACCTCAGCCTCCCAAGTAGCTAGGACTACAGGTGTGCACCACCACACCCAGCTAATTTTTTGCATTTTCAGTAGAGACAGGATTTCACCATGATGCCCAGGCTGGTCTCGAACTCCTGGACTCAGGCAACTCACCTGCCTCAGCCTCCCAAAGTGCTGGGGTTACAGGCTTGAGCCACCATGCTTGGCCTTCAATAACTTTTAAAATCATTTCAATGCTATTGGGGAAAATCTGTTGGCATTTTTATTGGGATCACACTGAATTTACAGATTAACTTAGTGAAAATTGATATATTTATAATTTTTTAATCTTCTTATCCAAAAACGTAGTCTACTTTTTATCTAAGTTCTTTTTTTTTTTTTATCTAAGTTCTTTTTTGGGCTCTTTAGTTTCATTGTATAGTTTTATTCCTGAAGGGCTTATACTTTCTTGATGCAGTTATTCTTATTTTATCTTTTTGTTGGAATTACAATATGGCTTTTTCTTTCATCATTATTTTCCAACTAGATGTAGTCTGACATACTAGGCAATTAGAAAATAATGTGTATAGACTTAACCTTATGTTTCACTAATTTATTTGTTCGCCTATCCTTCTCAAAACCACTACTTTCTTCTCAGTTCATTTTTTTTCTTGCTAGAGTACATTATTCATATATGCTTGCTAATAGCCCATCCCTATATGAATAGGTTTTCTGACTTGGGACAAGTAGGAAGTTTTTAAAAAATCACTTATAGCCCATCCCTATATGAAGAGGAATAATGTGAGTACATTATTCCTACTTGTTCCAGTCAGAAATCTATTTATTTTGCCCTCTGCTCTGAATGATAGTTTGGGGAGAGAAGTCTAAGTTCAATGTTGTTTTTCCACAGCAGTTTGAATGTGGTGCCTGTATTCTGCTTACATCTAATCTTGCTAGTGAAATAGTTATTGTCGAATTGACTCTTCTTTTTGTAGATTTTTCTAAACCTTTTTCTTTTAGGAGTGAAAAAAGAGTCTTTGATGTTCTGAATCTTGACTATAATGTGTTATGCTTGACATATATTCTGCCACTATTCTGGAAACTCTTTTAGTCAAAAGAGGTATGATGGTGGTGATTTTGCCCACCCAAGGGACATTTGGCAATGTCTGGAGATATTTTTGGTTGTCACAACTGACAGCCAACCCTAGGGTAGGGGAAGGAGGCTGGTGGATTTGCTACTGGCCCCTAGGGAGTAGGGCCAAGGATGCTGCTAAACATCCTAAAGTGTGTAGGGAAGCCTCTCACAATAAGGGACTGTCCAGCCCAAAATGCCAACAGTGTCAACACCGAAAAAGCCTGAAGCATGGATATTTTAGTTTTAGGCTTTGGTCTGGCTAACTGGGGGCAAAATGGATTTGGCCTCAGCCTCAGGGCAACACTTTCTGGTTGGGAGATTCTGTACTGGCTTTGTGACAATAGGTGTCCTGGCCTGTGGTGGTGCCAGCCTCAGTGTACACTGCAGTTTACCTAGCTCTTCCCTACCTGTACGAACGAATGCTTCATAGGTTCTCTTCCATGGAGAGGTGCTTTTCTTGTTTGTGAGGATGGCTATGTATACGGCAATGTTTTAAATTTTTTCTCTATTATTTCTATGAGATTGTTTTAGTAGAAGGTGATTTCAGCATGTGACCTTCAAGGTCTTTATACAAACGTGCAAAGTCAATAAAATTGATTCTAGCAATACTGAAAGAGAAAAGGAAACAACAAATCACTTATAAGTTCATCAACTAGAAATATTCAAGGTTAATAATATACCAGAAAGCTTTAAAATATAGCAGAGAAAACATAGGAACAGCTAGATAGAATTATGTTAAATGTAATGATATGATGCATACTATTTTAAAATTATTTTTATATTTATTTTGCTTGAACTAAAGAAAAAGTAACTAATCAAATTGAAGGAAGAGCTGAACTACAGAATGTATTTCTTCACCTCAAGAACTTTTAGTTACAGGAAGATTTTTCTAATATTAAAATGACTAAATTGCAAAAAGCATAAAATGTTTGGAGCCATTTTTAAAGTTGTCTTGAAACACATATTGGCACTCAAACTTTCCCACTCCCTAACTTTAGTTAATTGCTATAATGGACATCTGTTGTTTTGATCTACCCAACATCCTTTCATTCTATTTTGGTAACTGATATTCTCTGGGGGAACTGATCTTTCCACTTTACATCAAGTTTTCTGGAAATTATTCAACCAAGGAACCTGCCCTATGCTAGAGAAGAGTTGAGTATGCAAACTAGGCAAGTGAAAGTCTCTCACTGTAATTGAACCCTTCTTAAATCAAGTAAAAAAAATGACTATGGTCAAGTCACTCCTGCCAGCCAGGTCCTTGTAACTTCTCAGGCACCTCTCCCCTCTAAAGCCTATTTGGTCAATTTGTCCTTTTATTCTATCAGGTCCTCTCTAATGATTTCAATAAATTACTTTTGTTTGTTTTTTTTTAATGATCCAAACCCTGGTTTTATAGATTGAAACAGAAGAATCTACCTGATGTAAAAATATCTTTACTTTGTGAAGGTTTGTAACGTTCTTTTCCATAATTATGATTCCTACATATCTTAATTATATATATATATATATATATGTGAATGGATTTAAGCTTAATTTTGGTCCAATTATAATAATCTTTTATTTTCACATATTTTTGCTCATCTAGATTTCCTTACTGCGTAACTTTTCTTTAAGAATGATTCATGAGTCCTGTATTTCTAGGACTCTTTTATGTTCAGAAATACCCATGTTTTGCCTTTGTACTAGAATAACATTTTGACTAAGTTTAATATTTTTAGGTCAGAATTTTTTTCCTTAAGAACTATACACATATTGCTTCACTGTCTTCTTAGACACTTGTGGTCAAGATAGAGGAACAGAGACCATATTTATCTTCCCTTCTCAAACAACTGCAAAATCAGACAAAATATATGAAACAACAGGCCTCAAGATATTGGAAATCAGTCAGTGAAGGATACTGATCCCTCATCCCTGTTGTAATGTAGGATGTGGGAAACAAAGGAGGTCACCTCTGTGACTGCCCCAGCTTAGTGCCCTAGAGTTTCTAGTCTGCAATTCAGAGAGGAAAAACTCGGGTACAGTGGGACAGACTTTCAACTCTTGCATTATTGAATTTATAGACTTCTCAAACTCTTCTATGGCATGGACATCTATGGGGAGGTTTTGTTTGTTTTTTTGAGACAGTGTCTCACTTTGTCACCCAGGCTGGAGTGCAATGGTGCGATCTTGGCTCACTATAACTTCTGCCTCCTGAGTTCAAGCAGTTCTCATGCCTCAGCCTCCCAAGTAGGTGGTATTACAGGTGTGCACTACCACACCCAGCTAATTTTTGTATTTTTAGTAGAGACAGGGTTTCACCATGTTGGCCAGGCTGGTCTCAAACTCCTGACTTCAGGTGATCTGCCTGCCTTGGCCTCCCAAAGTGTTGGGATTACAGGCGTGAGCCACCGCGCCCGACCTATGGTGAGTTGTCTTTTGTCCCCTGAGTTATATATCCTTTCGGCATGGGTTCTTCATCTGGTTTACGCCATGTTTATTTTTTACATATTTTCCCTGTTGTCTTTCTGCCTAATGATCAGACCACTTATCTTTCTAATGCTTAATCAGGGTGGCTGGGTAGAGTCTTTCTTTTTACTTTAAGATGGCATAGAAGGGCTCTCTTTGACAACTTTCTTAGAGAAATAGACTTGCTTGGCTTCCTCTCCATTGTATAGCTGGAGGCCTGGGTAGTGTCTTCCATCTACTTTTCTGTAGCCTGATCTGATTTGGTGTGAGATGAGGCCCTTGCTGTTAATCTGGTTTCTACTCTTGATTGCTGCCTAGGAAATTCCATTAAATCCGCTGAATTCCATGAAGGAGGCAAAGCATGCAGGAATAAGACACAGCCCCCTTTGTTTAATTCATGTGAAATTCTGGAAAATCCTGCCTGTATCTACAGAGAGTCCCTGGGGACAGTCAGGGGCTTCTATGCTACAGGGTCTACCTGGTGTTTCCCTGAGCTGCCTCCTCAATACCTCTACCACCACCCTTCAAATTGGTCATATATTAACAAGAATTCTGGTTTTCTTTTCTTTATGTGACATCTATTCATGACTACACTCGGCAGGTGAGATAGTAGCTATGCCTTTATATAGAACTTTTAAATTCTATTTTTTATTTTATTTATTTATTTTTTAGAGACAGGGGCTTGCTCTGTCACCCAGGCTGGGTGCACTGGTAGGATCACAGCTCACTGTAACCTCACACTCCTGAGCTCAAGTGATCTTCCTGCCTCAGCCTTCTGAGTAGATGGGACTCCGGGTGTTCACCACCATGCCCAGCTAAATTTATTTATTTATTTTTGAGAGACAGGGTCTCAGTATGTTGCCCAAGCTGGATTTGAACTCCTGGGCTCAGATAATCCTCCCATCTTGGCCTCCTAAAGTCCTGGAATTATAAGCATGAGTCACCATGCCCAACCTATTCTATTTTTTAAATTTTCATACATATCTGTTAGATGTTTATAGTATAAGGTTAAAACTCCATTCTTTGCTTCTCTGTTGCTGGTAAATTTTGGGCTATATTTTTACTAATTTTGTACATTGTTTTACATATTGGTAAAGGGAGAGTGTGATCTGAATTTATTCAGATCTTTATTCAGAATTACCACTTGTTATATTAATCATTTTATCTTAAATGTATCTCTACTTACTAGTGATTTGCAGTATATTCCAAGTTAGTCATAAAAACATTTCACAATAGATTAATTTCATGCTTTCCTGTGAAATTGTCTTAAAGAATAAAGTTCTTAATATTGTAAGTAGCTGCCAGAAATAAACCAATTCTAGCCTCAAGTTCATACTTCTTACAATGAGAATCTAAAATTTTTTATTCTTGGGAAATAGCAGGGTCTTGCTGTTTTTAATAGAGAATTGACTCTTTGAATTTTTTAGTTTTTGTCTCTCAGAAAAGATGAATTTGTTGGCTTTAAATATTGAGAGAGTTTCTAGAGACCCACGGGAAATGAGAAATTTGCACTTTTGTAGCAATGGCTTTTGAAAGACTAGCTAAAATCCTGAAGACTTAGCAGAAGTAAGATATTAAACTGACTTTGTCATTTTGTTGATTATTAAATTAAATGAAAAAACAAAATGTAACCTTTGAGTCCAATATATTCATCCTCCTAAGCCCTCTATCATCTTAAAATCAATCAATAAAACACAGTATGCCTCCCTGGGGGACTGTGGCAGTCTTTCCTTCATGTAGTAACCCACGATGCTCCATAAGAATAAAAAAGCAGAGCTAAGGAGCAGATTCCAAATAACCAAAAGGCACACAAAAAGCATCTTAAAATATAGTGATAAAAAACCATCTAATGCCGTTAAAAGAAAAAGCAGAAAATAATAAAGTAACATAATGTGGTCTTGCAAAAAACAGCCTGTGATCTTACATTTCAAAACATATCTTGCCTGTTCCTGGCCCCTACAAGGCCAGATGAGCTACCCGCTCCATCCTTCACATTCTGCTTGCACGTCCCATTCAAGCTTTTCTGCACATGGCCATGTTAAAAATAACAGACATCTGAGTCTGCCTGGCACACTCAGATCTTTTCATGACAAGTTCTTCCTTCCCTGAGCGCTTCCCTGACCACCCAAAATAACCACCCCATCCCTCCATCTGCCTCCACACACACACACACACACACACACACACACACACACACCCCTACCTCTGAGTCTCAGGGTCCTCTAATTACTGATATTCCTTATTACTATGGGAAACCCCTTGTCTATCTGTGTACTTGTCAGTGGCTTGTCTCTGCCCTAAAGGAGAAATCTTACATTGATTCATCCTCAATCCCCAGCACCTAGAAGAGTATGTGACTTAATAAGTGTGTGCTTACATGTTTGGATCAAATGATTTGATTAGAGATGAGAAACACTTAATTGTTTCTTAGGCTGGGGTTGTCCTATCACACAGAAGCCTTCAGAATGTACAGATGTCTTTTTGCCCTAGAAGCCAAACAGAGCAGAAGATTGTAGACCCCAGCCGGTTGGGCTACTCCTGGATTGATTCCAAACACGATGTTTCTTTCCAGGCCTGAAAATCGACGGATATTGTCCAACACAATGTGATCGGCCAGAACATCCGACGCATCCCCAATCTGCAGTAACGGATCAGATTCCTCATCGAGCTGAGACATTTTTCTCTTCCTCATTGCTGTTAGAAGCTTGTCTTTATATTTTTCCACTTCACCTGCTTTGCTGAAAAGCACAGCAATATCCTTGGGAGAATAACCATTCCTCAAGAGAAAACGGCACTTCTCTGCTACATAAATCAGTATCTCCTCCAAGTTCAAGTCTTCAACAATCTCTAAGTTGCCTGGGACACCTTCAGCCCATTTAGGTTCATGGTGCATCACCAGGGCCCCAGGGGGGAGGTTAGGTGGAGGATTTTCTCTGACTTCCTGCATTACATGTTGTAGGTAATTGGCTATTGGACTTGCATTGCGGACCACTCTAGTGATCTCTTCTCTTGGAAACTGGTCTGAGGGAGGGGGGAGGCCACTGCAACTCAAGTGATTGGTCTGAAAGTAGTCCAGAAAGATCCAGAGAATTCCTGGGCCATCCCTTGCTGTCTGAGTGATGAACTTTGCCTTCGCATACCAGTCCCCATCTTCAGTGCGGAAATTCTGAGCTTCATCAATGACAATGTGCTGGATGTGTTCAAAGCCGTTTTTCATGAAGGTTTTCCGGGTCACTGCTTGGCAGATCCTTTTCGTGCTGCAACTGTAAGAAACACAATCAGGTTTCCCTGATGAAACAAACAAAGCCAATTCTACTTTTAAACTCCTCTGGGCATGTTAAATACATATGAATTTTAGCAAGTAAACCGAAAGCCACACCAGCCACAGTCACTCAAGAAAAGAAGGTGAACACAGACAGGCAACATACCTCACCAACTTCCTCAGGGGCTGGTTCTCACAGATGTAGAGAATGTTATCCGGTTCACAGTGAAACACATTCTTGATCTTCTCCATGATCCTAAGAGCCAAGATAGTCTTCCCTGATCCAGGTAAGCCATGAACAAACAACTCTCTGGCCTTGCGAAGGTTCTTTGAAAGCAATTGATATTGTTTATCTGTCAGTAGGTTCAAAACCTCAGAGCCCAGCTCTTCACTTAAAAAGGATTTGAACCCAAGCAAGACTATCAGGAGGGACTGTAACAGGGCTTCCATGTGCCAGGAAGTCATGAAGTTATAGGATTCGGGGTAAATTTGTAAATATGAACTGTAAACGCCCTGTGAGCTTCTATCAGAATTCAGCACACAGACCAAGGGAGTGATGCATAATCTCCCAGTGTAACCACCTATGTTCACCAGCCTCTGCTTCAAAGAATAGGCAACTATCATAGAATAGCCCTTGCACCCTGCATCCCACTCGCTGAAGATGGTATAGAGAATAGGGGTGTTGTTCTGGGAAATTAGAAGAGCATCACAGATGACCCCCTGCTTCTCTTTCAGACCTAAGTCCACAGCCCAACTTCGAGAAAAAATCAATATTCCTTGAGAAAAAGGGCGCATTTCTGTATTTATTAAGTCTCTGAGTCCTTTATGTTGTGAGAAGAGCTCCTTGTAGAGGCTTTCTGGAGTATACACCACTCTGTCTGAAAATACTAGACAGGGAAAGAATTGGAATAAATTAGAAAATCCTCAGACAGACTAGTAATCATCATTATACGTAGAAAATTCAATCAACATTGGGACCCTATCATGTAGCTACAATAGGTTATACATTAGTAATAAAAAGATAAACAATTCTTATTCTTATGGAGTGCTTATTAGCTGGTATAAACAGAGACAACAATAATTTTGGTACAAAGTGGTCAATACGACCAGAGAAGGGCACAAAGTATTATGCAGTTGAGGAAAGAAGAAAATAGGAAAGTCTTTATGAAGAAGGAAATACCTGAGCTGATTCCTGTTTTTGTTGTTGTTGTTGTTTTTGTTTTTATGAGACAGTTTTGCTCTGTTGCGCAGGCAGGAGAACAGTGGCGCGATCTCAGCTCACTGCAACCTCCGTCTCCTGGGTTCAAGTGATTCTCCTGCCTTAGCCTTTCGAGTAGCTGGGACTACAGGCATACGACACCATACCCAGCTAATTTTTGTATTGTTTGTAGAGATGGGGTTTCACCATGTTGGCCAGGCTGGTCTCAAACTCCTGGGCTCAAGTGATCTGCCTCAGCCTATCAAAGTGCTGGGATTACAGGTGTGAGCCACCGTGTCCGGCCTGTTCTTTAACTTTTGTAGAGATGGGGGTGGGGGCGGGGTGTTGGTGGTAGTCTCACTATGTCACCCAGGCTAGTCTCAAACTCCTGGCCTCAAGTGATTCTCTGTCTTCAGCCTCCCAAAGTGCTGGGATTACAGGCGTCAGCCACCACACTCAACCCTGAGCTGTTTTTTAAAGGATGACTTGGAATTGGTGAGTTGAAGAGGAGAATAGAGATGGTCAAAAGAGGACACATGAGTAACACTCAGGGACATGAAACAGCAAGGAAGCCGGGCATGGTGGCTCATGCCTGTAATCCCAGCACTTTGGGAGGCTGAGGCGGGTGGATCACTTAAGCCCAGGAGTTTAAGATCAGCCTGGTCAACATGGTGAAATCCCATCTCTACACATAATACAAAAATTAGCCAGGCATGGTGATGTGTGCCTGTAATCCCAGCTACTCAGGGGGCTGAGGCACAATAATTGCTTGAACCCAGGAGGCTGAGGTTGCAGTGAGCTGAGGTCATACCACTGCACTCTAGCCTGAGGAACAGAGTGAGACCCTGTCTCAAAAAAAAACAAAAACTGAAGTCCATTCAGGTCACTCCAAGCAGTGTGTGTTGCTGACATCCAAAGTGAGAGGCAAAGTAGTGGAAACAAGGATGGGGAGGAAGGCACGAGAGTGCCATCTTAACTCCTGGCAAGATTACGTACTATATGGTTTCACTTACATGACATTCTGTAAAGCACAGCTACAGGTACAGGCAACAGATCAATGGATGCCAGAGGTTAGGGATTTGGGGAGAGTTTGACTAAAAAGGGACAGCATGAAGGAGACTTTTTTGTTGTTATTATTAGATGGGGTCTTGCTCTGTCACCTAAGCGGGAGCACAATGGTACAATTATAGCTCACTGCAGCTTCTACTTCCTGAGCTCAGGTGATTCTCTCACCTCAGCTTTCTAGGTAGCTGGGACTACAAGTGCACGCCACCATATCCAGCTAATTTTTCAATTTTTTTTGTAGAGACAGGGTTTCAGCATGTTACCCAGGCTGGTCTTAAACTCCTGGGCACAAGTGATCCTCCCACCTCAGTCTCTTAGAGTGCTGAGATTGCAGGTGTGAGCCACCTCACCCGGCCATCTTTTTTTCTTTTTGGTAAGACAAAATGATTCTAAGCTTCTTCCAGAAAAGAAGTGACATGATAATACCACGTTGGTGAAAGTACATTTGGGTATATGTTTTGGATTACAATCTGGCAATATCCATCTAAATTTATAAGCAATTATAACTACTTGGAATTTATCCTTAAAGAACAACTCAGGTAGGAGGTGTAGGAAGATGTATATTGTAGCACTGTTTTAAAAGGAAAAAATTAGACATCACCTAAAAGTCCATTAAAAAAATGACTGGGCTGGATGTGGTGGCTCACGCCCATTATCCCAACACTTTGGGAGGCTGAGGCAGGTGTATCACCTGATGTCAGCAGTTCAAGACCAGCTTGGCCAACATGGCGAAACCCCATCTCTACTAAAAATACAAAAAATTAGCTGGGCGTGGTGGGTGCACCTCTAATCCCAGCTACCCAGGAGGCTAAGGCAGGAGAATCACTTGAACCTGGGAGGCAGAGGTTGCAGTGAGCCAAGATTACACCATTACACTCCAGCCTGGGCAACAAGAGCAAAACTCCATCTCAAAAAAAAAAAAAAAAAGACTGGTGACTGGGAGTGGTGGCTTATGCCCTTAACCCCAGCACTTTGGAAAGCTCAGGTGGAAGGACTGCTTGAATCTGGGAGTTTGAAACCAACCTGGGCAACACAGGAAGACTCTGTCTCTACAGAAGTTAAAAAACTAACTGGGTATAGTAGAGTGCTGCTCCTTTGTTGATGAGTCTTGCTATGTTGCCCAGGCTTGTCTCAAACTACTGGACTTAAGCAGTTCCACACCTCACCCTCCCAAAGTGCTGGAATTACACGTCTGAGCACTGTGCACAGTCTTTTCACTTTCTTTAAGGTATATTTTGAGGAATCGTTCTTAATTTTAATGTAGTGAAACTTATCAATCTTTTTGTTTAAGTTTGATCCTTTTGTGTCTGGTTTAGGAAATCCTTTCCTACCCCAATGGCATAATTATTTATATACATTTTCTACTAAAAGTTTTAAAGGTTTGGTTCTCATATTTAAGTCCTTAAACCTCTGGAATTGATCCTGTATATAATATAAAGTAGGAGTCCATTTCTTATATGAATGAACAATCTGCATATTCCAAAGCAACCAGAGATGGCTAATTACCTGGAAAGTAGCGTTTCTGCTGCTCTTTCAGACATTCCAAATTCTTATGAATGCACACGGTGTTGCTGAGGGGTGTGGCAGATGACAAACTCAGCGCAAGGACCATCTCAGGACACCTGGAAAGATCTTAGAAAACAAGAACAAAGGATTCAATATGCAAAATGGCAGAGCCCAACTTACAGCTGAGTGGTGCTGCGAAATCTGTCACGTAGTCTTACAGCTCAAGCCACGGCCCACAGATACTTGCCTTTACATCTCAGTTCAGCTCAGGAAAGCCTACTGAGGTTTTTGAAGGAAAAAAATAACGTAGCATGAAGCAGCACTTTTAAATTTCATTATGTCAAAACAAAACTATTTTTATTTTTATTTATTTTTTTGAGACAGTCTCACTCTGTTGCCCAGGCTGGAGTGCAGTGGCATGATCTCAGCCCACTGCAACCTCCGTCTCTTGGGTTCAAGCGATTCTCCTGAGTAGCTGGGATTATAGGCATGCATCAACACACTCAGCTAATTTTTTTGTATTTTAGGTAGAGAAAGAGTTTCACCATGTTGGCCAGGCTGGTCTTGAATTCCTGACCTCAGGCAGGTCTCTGCCTCCCAACATGCTGGGATTACAGGCATGAGCCACCACGCCCAGCCTATTTTTATATTTTTAGAATGCTATTTTTTAAAGAAATATGATGAGAAGAAGCAAAGGCCAATGGATATAGATATCTGAGCAAATTCTGAAGGGGACTTTTTCTGGACTGTTGAAGAAGTTACCATTGGTTTTCTCTTGTTTAATTTTATCATAGGCTTTCCTTTTCCAGGGTAGATGCATGTCACCAACTGTCTTCTTTGGCTTATCACGTACTGGCTCCCCAAAGGAAAAGTGGGAAAAGAGAGGGAAAGCCATGATTTGGTCATGTTTTGGTTCAAAAAATGGAAGTGGACAGTGAGAAAGGGAGAATATTTAAGAAGGGAAATTCAGAGGAAAATGACAGTAAGTTAAAGGAAAATGACATCTGTATATGTGAAAAAAAGAAATTTCCCCTATACTTAAATGCAAGCTCATAATTGAAAAATAAGAGAAGAGATTTGAAAATGAACATAAGAACAGATGTGAAAATTGAAATAACTAGGTCAAACAGCCTGCTGCACCAGCCTCTAACGGAGCTACTAGCCAGGGCATCTGTTGAATAAAGGCTATTTAAAATGGTAAAAGAAAGGAAGGGGCAATAATCCACAAACTGCATCTACAGGAATTAATAAGTCAGATATTTGCAACTCAGAGACTAAATCTCTTTCCCCAGATTCCAAGGAATACCATACCTCTCTTTCCTCTCTGCCCCACCCTGCCCTGCTGCCAGCAAACATTACAACCATTATTGATCTTGCTCCCTGACCTGGGTCGGCTTTCATCATCCAAGCAGTCCATTCTCTTGTGAGCAATTGTCTCACACGGTTGTCTTTCACCTGCCAGGAACTAGGCACTTTGGCAAACACTGCACAGCAGAATCGCTCCACCTTGATTGCACATACATATCCGCGGAGGGCGCCCTTATCATATACTTCAAGGAAGTTAATGACATATTGTATCTCAGGCCTCTGTGTGCAGAAATGATGGACAGGTAGCTTCCTAATACAGCTATCAATAGATGTCCTCAAGCTGGTAAGGTCTATTTTCTCTTTTTCACATCCAATCACTTGACAAGTCACATCGTGCACACCAAAAAATACATATCCTCCTTCAGTATTTGCAAATGCAGAAACACACTTCGGAAGTCTGTCTTTAACACAGTGTGACACGTCTGTTGAGAACATCACAAATTCAACATGCGTAGATTCAAGAAAGTTGAGTTTTTCCAGGTACTGAAGCCGCTTTTTATCAAATAAAGCAGCAGCTGAGGCATTTATGTTACCTTCATATTGTAAACTACCCTGAGCTGCCTGTGGACTTAATGAATTGGAAACATTAATATTCATAGGAGTCTGAGTCCTCCTTTTGAGGAATGCCAGAGCTTCCTGAGAATCCATGACATCAGTGGATGTTCTCTGTCTGTGGTACAAATTGGAGCATAAGGTAGCAAGTGGCGCACCAGCCTCCGTTTTCCATGATTTCACGAACATCAAAAAGTAGTTTTCCTTCTGCATTGCATCTAAATAGTTTCTGCAAATTGGAGGCACATCCAATCCTACTCCATGACTCTCATAATTGTAGCCTTTGTTCTCAATCTCAGCCTTGATTACGCCCCCACCAGAATTCAGCAGAGCACACACTGCTTGCAGGATGATTTCATTCTGTTTCTCCCGCAGGCGAGGGTCCATCTCCTGCCTCTGCTGAGTCCCAAGGGTGACTTTTCCTGCATCTATAACACACTCAGGAAAGTTTGTATCCGAATCAATCCTAAGAGTCATCTTCTCAGGACTTGGCCTATTCCTATCCTGGAATGTTCTCCTGGAAAACAGAAAGATGGAACCATTAGAACAGGACCTAAATACCCATTAATGGTAGAATGGATAAAGAAAATGTGGTACATATACACCATGGAATACTATGCAGCCATAAAAAATGAAATTATGTCTTTTGCAGGAACATGGATGGAGCTGAAGGCCATGATCCTAAGCAAACTGACACAGGAAGAGAAAAACAAATACTGGATGTTCTCACTTATAAGTGGGAGCTAAACAATGAGTACATATGTATACAAAGAAGGGAACAACAGACATGGGAGGGCCTACTTGAGGATGGAGTTTGGGAGGAAGGTAAGGATCAAAAAACTACCTATTGAATACTAAGCTTATTACTTGAGTGAGGAAATACTTTGCAACACACAATTTACCTATAAAACTGGCACATGTACCCCTGAAACTAAAATTAAGCTTAAAATAATATTAATAAATAAAAAGAATTGGAATTTTTTTTTTAGAAAAGAAGAACTTAAATGAGTGATAACATATCCTGCTTGATAACTTCCAGTTTCAGTTTTGAGTTATAATACATCAACAAATAATATTAGGTCAGCATCCTCAATGAGAGGACTAGTTAATCCTCAATTAATCTGAGCCAGATACAGAAAGCTATTCAACCATGATAAGATTATCATGGTTAAATTATCGTGGTTCCCTTCCTCTGGTAGGGGCAGGAGAGAAGCAAGATTCTGAGTGTTTCTGATGAACAGTAATGTGAGAGGAAGAGAGTAACAGAAACTCACAAGAGGTTAGCTTGCTGGCTGAAAAGTGTTATGTGTTCTTAGTCAATAGTAATGTCTGTGCAGGCTGGGCACAGTGGCTCATGCCTGTAATCCCAACACTTTAGGAGGCTGAGGTGGGAGCATCACCTGAGGTCAGGACTTTGAGACCAGCCTGGCAACATGGCAAAACCCTGTCTCTACTAAAAATACAAAAATTAGCAGGGTGTGGTGGTGTGCAGCTATAGTCCCAGCTACTCAGGAGGTTGAGGTAGGAAAATCACTTGAACCTCGGAGGCAGAGGTTGCAGTGAGCCGAGATTGTGCCACTGCACTCCAGCCTGGGTGACAGAGCAAAACTCCATCCCCCTCCCCAAAAAAAAGGTAACGTCTGTGCTGCATGAGAAACCATGAAATCAAGTGGGGAGAGAGCCTAGAGCCAGTTTGGCAGAAGCATCATCTAGTTTTGCAGTGACAGCGAATGCCTTAAAACAAGAGAAATAAGCCTTGGAAAGGGGTCAAGAGTGAGGCTATGGTAAATAATGGGGTTTTAATGGTTTCCATGAAGTTAAAGTCCAAGGGCTTGCCCAGATCCCTCTTGCACAAATAGACAAAATGGCTTTCTAGAGTTGGTGTGCTTTGGGAAGGAGGCTGTTTAAGAACTTATTTCAGGTTCCAGGAGGTCTTTATGTTTGGACTTTCAAAGGAGAGAATCCCTCATTGAAGACCTAGTCAATCCATAAAGAGGTGCTTCAATTTCAGAAAACTTTGGCACCTGTTGTCTGCAATATACTAGGTAAACCTAGAAATCCTGTCATCTGCCATTTTGTGAGGGATTGACAATACCTTTGGATGATCTTTAGTCTATCAGGAGAAAATACATATCCCTCCTTAGACAGGTTTACCCCAAACAATGAATTGTGTTTTGGTAAAACTGTAATTTAGCTTTAAAAATTTTATGTCCCTTTTCTGCTAAGGCTGAGAGCAAGTAAATGGAATCCTTTTAACGGGCTTCCTTGTTCTCTAAACAAAGTAGGAGATCATTTTTATATTGTATCAGAACTGAATCACAAGGGAAGTCTATGTCTTTTAACTCTTGGTTGAGCATCTGGACAAAAACGGGGTCTTCATTGAATCTCTGGAGCATGACTGTCCAGTTATACCATTGTCCTCCCCAAGACAAAGGCAGAAAAGTATTGACTGTCATTGTCTAGAGGTGCACTGAAAAAAGCAGAAAAAAATTCTACTACAGTAAAGCAAGTGACTTCAGGTAGAATTGATGAAAGATGGTGTGAGAGTTAGGTACTACTGGGGGAAAAAATACAATTTTCTTGATGGTTCTAAAGTCTTAAACAAATCAGTATCTTCATCCACTTGGTTTCTTTGCTGGCAGGGCAGGAGTGTTACGAGGGGATATGAAAGGACATTTGGATATAAGACCTTCAACTACAGGTTTGAGCCCTTCCTTTGCTTCTGACTTCAATGGATATTGTGGAAGTCTGGGTAATGGTTTCACAGGATCTGTCTGAATTAAGTAAGTTCTGCTTATTATTTTGCTGCTCCAATTATTCGTCCAGTGAAGTGGAATTTTTATTTTTTATTTATTTTTTTTTCATTTCTTTTTTTAATTGCATTTTAGGTTTTGAGGTACATGTGAAGAACATGCAAGATAGTTGCATAGGTACACACGTGGCAGTGTGATATGCTGCCTTCCTCCCCTTCACCCACATTTGGCATTTCTCCCCAGGCTATCCCTCCCCAGATCCCCCCACCACTGTCCCTCCCCTATTCCCCCCAATAAACCCCAGTGTGTAGTACTCCCTTCCCTGTGTCCATGTGTTCTCATTTTTCCTCACCCACCTATGAGTGAGAATATGTGGTGTTTCATTTTCTGTTCTTGTGTCAGTTTGCTGAGAATGATGTTCTCCAGATTCATCCATGTCCCTACAAATGACGCGAACTCATCATTTTTGATTGCTGCATAATATTCCATGGTGTATATGTGCCACATTTTCCCAGTCCAGTCTATCATCGATGGGCATTTGGGTTGGTTCCAGGTCTTTGCTATTGTAAACAGTGCTGCAATGAACATTTGTGTGCATGTGTCCTTATAGTAGAACGATTTATAGTCCTTTGGATATATACCCAGTAATGGGATTGCTGGGTCAAATGGAATTTCTATTTCTAAGGCCTTCAGGAATCGCCACACTGTCTTCCACAATGGTTGAACTAATTTACACTCCCACCAACAGTGTTAAAGTGTTCCTATTCCTCCACATCCTTCCAGCATCTGCTGTCTCCAGATTTTTTAATGATCACCATTCTAACTGGCATGAGGTGGTATCTCCATGTGGTTTTGATTTGCATCTCTCTAATGACCAGTGATGATGAGCATTTTTTCATATGTCTGTTGGTCTCATGTATGTCTTCTTTTGTAAAGTGTCTGTTCATATCCTTTGCCCATTTTTGAATGGGCTCGTTGGTTTTTTTTCCGTAAATCTGTTTGAGTTCTTTGTAAATTCTGTCAGTTGGGTAAACTGCAAAAATTTTTTCCCATTCTGTTGGTGGCCGATTCACTCTAGTGACTGTTTCTTTTGCCGTGCAGAAGCTGTGGAGTTTCATTAGGTCCCATTTGTCTATTTTGGCTTTTGTTGCCAATGCTTTTGGTGATTTGGTCATGAAGTCCTTGCCTACTCCTATGTCTTGAATGGTTTTGCCTAGATTTTCTTCTAGGGTTTTTATGGTGCCGGGTCTTATGTTTAAGTCTTTAATCCATCTGGAGTTAATTTAAGTGTAAGGTGTCAGGAAGGGGTCCAGTTTCTGCTTTCTGCACATGGCTAGCCAGTTTTCCCAACACCATTTATTAAACAGAAAATCCTTTCCCCATTCCTTGTTTTTGTCAGGTTTATCAAAGATTGTATGGTTGTAGATATGTTGTGTTGCCTCTGATGCCTCTGTTCTGTTCCATTGGTCTATATCTCTGTTTTGGTATCGGTACCATGCTGTTTTGATTACTGTATCCTTGTAGTATAGTTTGAAGTCCAGTAGTGTGATGCCTCCCTCTGTGTTCGTTTTGCTTAGAATTGACTTGGCTATGCGGGCTCTCTTTTGGTTCCATGAGGTTTATGATGGTTTTTTCCAGTTCTGTGAAGAAAGTCAATGGTAACTTAATGGAGATAGCATTGATTCTGTAAATTACTTTGGGCAGTACAGCCATTTTCACGATATTGATTCTTCCTAACCATGAACATGGAATGTTTCTCCATCTGTTTGTGTCCTCTCTGATTTCGTTGAGCAGTGGTTTGTAGTTTTCCTTGAACAGAGCCCTTATGTTCCTTGTAAGTTGTATTCCTAGGTATTTTATTCTTTTTGTAGCAATTGTGAATGGCAGTTCGTTCTTGATTTGGCTCTCTTTAAGTCTGTTACCGGCGTATAGGAATGCTTGTGATTTTTGCACATTGATTTTCTATCCTGAGACTTTGCTGAAGTTGCTTATCAGTTTCAGGAATTGAGGCGATGGGGTCTTCTAGGTATACCATCATGTCGTCTGCAAATAGAGACAATTTGGCTTCCTCCTTTCCTATTTGAATACCCTTTATTTCTTTTTCTTGCCTGATTGCTCTGGCTAGAACTTCCAGTACTATATTGAATAAGAGTGGTGAGAGAGAGCATCCTTGTCTAGTGCCAGATTTCAAAGGGAATGCTTCCAGTTTCTGCCCATTAAGTATGATATTGGCTGTTGGTTTGTCGTAAATAGCTTTTATTATTTTGAAGCTTCCATCAATACCGAGTTTATTGAGGGTTTTTAGCATAAAGGGCTGTTGAATTTTGTCAAATGCCTTCTCTGCGTCAATTGAGATAATCATGTGGTTTTGTTTTTGGTTCTGTTTATGTGGTCAATTACGTTTATAGACTTGCGTATGTTAAACCAGTCTTGCATCCCCGGGATGAATCCTACTTGATCATGATGGATAAGTTTTTTTATATGCTGTGCAATCGGTTTGCCAGTATTTTATTGAAGATTTTTGCATCTATGTTCATCATGGATATTGGCCTGAAGTTTTCTTTTCTTGTTGAGTCTCTGCCGGGTTTTGGTATCAGGATGATGTTGGACTCATTAAATGATTTGGGAAGGATTCCCTCTTTTTGGATTCTTTGGAATAGTTTCAGAAGGAATGGTACCAGCTCCTCTTTGTGTGTCTGGTAGAATTCGGCTGTGAACTCATATGGACCTGGGCTTTTTTTGTGTGGTAGGCTCTTAATTGCTTCCTGGATTTCAGACCTTGTTATTGGTCTATTCATAGTTTCGGCTTCCTCCTGGTTTAGGCTTGGGAGCACACAAGTGTTCAGGAATTTATCCATTTCTTCCAGGTTTACTAGTTTATGTGCATAGAGTTGTTTGTAGTATTCTCTGAAGATGGTTTTAATTTCTGTGGAATCTGTGGTGATTTCCCCTTTATCATTTTTTATTGCATCTATTTGGTTGTTCTCTCTTTTCTTTTTTTTACCAGTCTGGCTAGTGGTCTGTCTATTTTGTTGATCCTTTCAAAAAACCAGCTCTTGGATTTATTGATTTTTTGAAGGGTTTTTCATGTCTCTATCTCCTTCAGTTCTGCTCTGATCTTAGTTATTTCTTGTCTTCTGCTAGGTTTTGAGTTTTTTTGATCTTGCTCCTCTAGCTCTTTCAATTTTGACGATAGGGTGTCAATTTTGGATCTCTCTACTCTTCTCATGTGGGCACTTATTGCTATATATTTTCCTCTGGAGACTGCTTTAAATGTGTCCCAGAGATTCTGGTATGTGGTGTCTTCGTTCTCATTGGTTTTGAAGAACTTCTTTATTTCTGCCTTCATTTCATTGTTCATCCAATCAACATTCAAGAGCCAGTTGTTCAGTTTCCATGAAGCTGTGCAGTTCTGAGTTAGTTTCTGAATTCTGAGTTCTAACTTGATTGCACTATGGTCTGAGAGACTGTTTGTTATGATTTCAGTTGTTTTGCATTTGCTGAGGAGTGCTTTACTTCCAATTATGTGGTCAATTTTAGAGTAGATGTGATGTGGTGCTGAGAAGAATGTATATTCTGTGGATTTGGGGTGGAGAGTTCTATAAATGTCTATCAGGTTTGCTTGTTCCAGGTCTGAGTTCAAGCCCTGGATATCCTTGTTAATTTTCTGTCTGGTTGATCTGTCTAATACTGACAGTGGAGTGTTAAAGTCTCCCACTATTATTGTGTGGGAGTCTAAGTCTCTTTGTAAGTCGTTAAGAACTTGCCTTATATATCTGGGTGCTCCTGTATTGGGTCCATATATATTTAGGATCGTTAGCTCTTCTTGTTGTATCGATCCTTTTACCATTATGTAATGTCCTTCTTTGTCTCTTTTGATCTTTGTTGGTTTAAAGTCTATTTTATCAGAGATGAGAATTGCAACTCCTGCTTTTTTTGCTCTCCATTTGCTTGGTAAATCTTCCTCCATCCCTTTATTTTGAGCCTTTGTGTATCCTTGCATGTGAGATGGGTTTCCTGGATACAGCACACCAATGGGTTTTTGGTTTTTTATCCAATTTGCCAGTCTGTGTTTTTTGATTGGTGCATTTAGCCCATTTACATTTAGGGTTAATATTGTTACGTGTATATTTGATACTGCCATTTTGATGCTAGCTGGCTGTTTTGCCCATTAGTTGATGCAGATTCTTCATTTTGTTGATGCTCTTTAGCATTTGATATATTTTTGGAATGGATGGTACTGATTGTTCCTTTCTACGTATAGTGCCTCTTTCAGGAGCTCTTGTAGAGCAGGCCTGGTGGTGACAAAATCTTTGAGTACTTGCTTGTTTGCAAAGGATTTTATTTTTCCTTCACTTATGAAGCTCAGTTTGGCTGGATATGAAATTCTGGATTGAAAGGTCTTTTCTTTAAGGATGTTGAATACTGGCCCCCACTCTCTTCTGGCTTGTAGAGTTTCTGCTGAGAGATATGCTGTGAGTCTGATGGGCTTCCCTTTGTGGGTGACCTGACCTTTCTCTCTGGCTGCCCTTAGTAATTTCTCCTTCATTTCAACCCTGGTGAATTTGACGATTATGTGCCTTGGGGTTGCTCTTCTTGTGGGATATCTTTATGGTCTTCTCTGTGTTTCCTGGACTTGAATATTGGCCTGCCTTGCTAAGTTGGAAAAATTTTCCTGGATAATATCCTGAAGAGTATTTTCCAGCTTGGATTCATTCTCTTCATCACATTCTGGTACACCTATCAAACGTAGGTTAAGTCTCTTCACATAGTCCCACGTTTCTTGGAGACTTTGTTCATTCCTTTTTGCGCTTTTTTCTCTAATCTTGGTTTCTCATTTTATTTCATTAAGTTGATCTTCAACTTCTGATATTCTTTCTCCTGCTTGGTCAATTCGGCTGTTGAAACTTGTGCATGCTTCACGAAGTTCTCATGTTGTGTTTTTCAGCTCCTTCAATTCATTCATATTTCTCTCTAAGTTGTCCATTCTTATTATCATTTCCTCGAATCTTTTTTCAAGGTTCTTAGTTTCTTTGCATTGATTTAGAACATGTTCTTTTAGCTCACGGAAGCTTCTCATTATCCACCTTCTGAAGTCTAATTTTGTCATTTCGTCACACTCATTCTTGTCCAGTTTTTTTCCCTTGCTGGTGAGGAGTTTTGGTCCTTTGTAGGAGGCGAGGTGTTTTGGTTTCTGGTGTTTTCCTCCTTTTTGCACTGGTTTCTTCCAATCTTTGTGGATTTATCCACCTGTCATCTGAGTAGTTGCTGACTTTTCAATTGGGTCTCTGAGTGGACACCCAGATTG